ATACCTCTAGTATTTTGTTTTAAAGTCTATTTTGTCAGATAATACAGCCACTTCAGCTTTCTATGGTTGCTGTTTGCATGATATATATTTTCCAGACTTCTTTTTTCAATCTATTTGTGTATTTGAATCTGAAGTGTATATCCTATAGACAACATGTAATTGGATCTTATGTTTTATCTGGCCTGAAAATCTCTTCCTTTTGATTAGATAGTTTAATCATTCACATTTAATGTTATTACTGACAAAGCTGGATTTACCTATTATTTTGTTTTCCACTTCTTATGTCTTTTTAAAAATTTTCCTTATTCCTCTTTTACTGCTTTCTTTTGCATTACATGAATATTTTCTAGTGACATTTTAACTCATTTAGGTATTTTTTTCACAATAGATTTTTTTCTTTTGTTTTAGAGCTTACGGTATACATATTAATGTATCAGAATCAGTTTCAGATTTACATTAACATAAACCCAATGAGACACAGAAATGTTACTCCATTACCTCTTCCCCCTTATATGCTATTATTGTTATACATACTAAATCCTCATATGCTACAAACCCAAGAATACATTGCTATAATTATTACTTTATGTCACTTATGTCTATTAAAGAAGCTAAGAAAAAAAAAGAAGAGAAAGTACATATGTATAGCATTTGTTATAGTTATTTACCATTTTTGGTCCCCTTGGCTTGATTTACTATTTGGTATCATTTCCTTATTCCAACACTTTGCTTCAAACCACCTCCTTTGTATTGTTATTGCCAAACATATTACATTTCTATATGTGATAAGCCCAACAACACAATTCATCATACACATATTGTTTTATACAATTGCTTTGCAAATCAGAAAAGAAACATGCATTTATACTGCAATATTTATTTATCATTACATTATTGCCCTTATACATGTTTTTGTTTTTGTTTTCATGTAGTATTTCTTGTGAGTCTACAAGCAATGAATTCTTTCAGGTTCTGCTTATCTGGCAATGTCTTTATTTCACCATAATTTTTGAAGATATTTTTGCTGGGCATGATTCTTGGTTAAGAACTTTGTTGTTCCTGCTGATAAAATCTGCTTTTAATCTTATTCAGGTTCCTCTGATATGATGGAATGTTTTACTCTTGCTTTCAAGATTTTCTTTTTGTCTTTTGTCTTTTAACATCTCTACTATCATGTTAGAGTTTCTCTGTATTTATCCTATTTTGGAGTTTGTTGAGCTTGGATGTGCCAATTAGTGTGTGTGTGTGTGTGTGTGTGTGTGTGTGTGAGAGAGAGAGAGAGAGAGAGAGAGACTTGGCTACAGTTTCATAGTATATCCTATGTTCCCACCCACTTCCTGGATTGGATTTATTTTCTGTCTAGTAAAACAAATCTTTGTTTGGTATTATACTAAACTCATACAGGGAAATGGTCTTGTGAGGGAGACAGATTATGTGAAAAGATAATCACAATACAATGAGGTGAAGCTATTAGAGCACTTAAGTGTGAAAGAATTCAAGAAACTTCAGAATAAATATTTGAGATCATCAGTAGAACCCTAAGAAGTCACTAAAGATACATGAATATGCTGTGTTTATAATACTGATTTACAACTTTGAATAGGGAGAAATAAACCTGATCATCAGTGTCAATATGGCTTAATGACTACAGCCCACTTATGTTAATAAGACTTAGCTGTTTATTCCAGGAAACCTTTGCTCAGGAAAGATAAGACTGTAAACAAAACAAACCAAAACAAAAAACAATCTCTTAATTTTTTTTGGCATAAGGAAATTCCTATAGTATGGAGACAGTAATCTGCTTACCTGGGCAAACAGCTGGCTTCTGGAACAAGTTTACTTTTCAAGAATCTTCAAGGCCCTTGATTGCTGTGTCCACCAATCCTCAACCATTTCATTAACTTTGTCAAATCCAGTCAGTTCCCTTTCTTGACAAATGTGCCTTAAGCCAGCTGAGCAGAGATGCCCAAAGCTCTATAAATATCTAATTTTCAGGTTCTTAGACTCAGCTAAGCATATCAATGTGGTACACTCTTTTACTGCAGTAAGTTCTAGTGTTTAGTTTTGCTTTATTGATAATAGGTCATCTGATGGTATCTGGGAGAGTTCAACAGTAAGTTTTTTAAAAAAGGATTGCTCATTTAATTAGTATGTACTATATGGTCAGGAAAATTCACTTTTCTCTAAGAAGTCTATGTTGATGACTTTACCTTATAACAGCTCCACTTAGAATACAAGATCTTTTCAAGAAGTTTGTCCTTTCTGAAACACTAAGTGTCCATCAATGCATGAATGGATAAAGAAAATGAAGTATATATAAAATGGAATTTTATTCAGCCATAAACAAGAAGGAAATCTTGCATTTGTGACAACATGGATGGACCTTGAGGGTATTATGCTAAGTGAAATAAGTCAGAGGCAGGGATAGGAGGGTGAATGAAGGGGGTCAAAGGTACAAATTCCCAATTATAAAATAAATTAGTCATAGGGATGTAGTGTACAGCATAACTATAGTTAATACTACAATGCATATTTGAAAGTTGCTAAGAGAGTAAATCTTAAAAAGTTCTCATCACAAGAGAAAAAAAAAGGCTAACTATGTATGGTGATAGATGCTAACTAGACTTACCATGGTGATCATTTCACAATATATACAAGTATCAAGTCATTACTTTGTATACCTGAAACTAATATAATGTTGCTTATCAATCATACCTCAACAAAAAAATAATTTTAAAAAGTTTGTCCTTTCTAACTACAAACCACTACCAGACACACAAAGACAACCAGTTTATTGCTGTCAGTCACTAGGCCAAATATTGCTTGTATAAGGATCAACTGAGGAACTTTAATTAGAGATACAGGTTTCCATATATCCACTGTGTGCTTCCCTCACAGTGATTCTGATTCAGGGGAATTAACACAAGGGCATTCCTTTTATTTTAAAAAGCATCAGTTTTTTCCCAATGCAGGCTATCTTTAGATCATATTTAGAGAAACAATGCTTTCCTCCCCACATACCAGCAAACATGCATGTGTATAAACATGCACTGTACATATGAACATTATATACTCAAATGTTCCACACACTTATGAAAATGGATCATACTACATACATATATGTATGTAAACACACACATATTTATAGCTCTATAACATGCTTTTCTCAGGGAGCATTAAATTATATCTTTCTGAATTATCAAATACAGAGCTGTGTTGTTTCTAATGGCTACATTGTATTCCACTACACGCGTGTCCCATAATTTATCCAGTTCTCCCTCTATTAATGGTCATTAAGGTTTTTGTTGTTGTTTTGCTATTACAAACAATGCTGCAATTAATTACCTTTTTTCTAAAATTTATAATGGAGAATACAGAGAGTAGAATAAACAGATAAGCAGGATTCCTAGGTCAGAGCTCTGTACACTTTAAAGTTTGATAGTGCTCAATTGCTCCCCAACTAGTTCTAATATCTACAGTCCTGCCAATGGTCTTGAAGACTAATGACTTCCCTATGCCTATACCAATACTAGAGTATCACTCTTTTAAATCTCTATGTATTGACAAGTAGAAAAATAAAATAAAATCATAATTTGCATTTTCCATGTTTTTAAAATAACCAGCATTCAGTTTATGACTGAAACATAATTATCTGAAGTTCTACAGAACATATCATAATTTATTTTTGGAAAAGTTTTATTTTTACCTTAAAACTTAACTCTATCATCTATAAGACAGATGGGATGAGTGAATTTCAAATTATGTCCATAATGTGGCACTTACTTAGTATCTTCTTTTGCCTAGTGATATAAAAGAAAAGTCGTCAGTCGTAAGAACTTGTGTTCAAGCCCTAGTTTTGCCACCCAGCAGCTAGGTAATCTTGGGCAAGTCACTTGCCCTCTTGAGAGCTTCACTTTCCTCTTTTGTAACATGGGGGTTCTACTTAATTTATATTATTTTGAAGATTAAATGGAATTACGATTTTTAAATATAAGTATTAGTTAATACTATTACCGCAATAACAATGCAAGGGAAATTACCAAATGACTAGAATTATTTATAAGTCTTTCTTAATAATTGTAAAGTAATTATGTTGTATTACCAAAATCAGATTCTATTAGGTGAGCCAACTGTTTATTAGGATTACTAAAGTTGTTAGAAGAACATACATTTCATAGGGCTAACATACTGCTTAAAAAACCACAGCACTGGCTCTCTATAAATATTCCTTTAAGAGTAACTTCAGAAAACATTTCCTAAATTACTCAGTTCCTTAGATTAAATGAAATTATTTAAGTATATAATCAACTATACACCAGAATATTTCCTTTCAATTTTCTAGGAGGGTCTTGTTTCTAAGCACACATAGTAATTCAATTCAAGTAATACCATGGAGATTTCCTACAGCCAATAAATGAAATTCTAAAATTTTACTGTAGTATAATACATTGGAGATCTTATCCTTGACTCTTTCCTCTAATATCAAACTAACTCATTCATTGATTAAATGTCTCAATTTCTACCATGCATAAAATTACTATGCTAGGCAGTAGGGACATAAAATCCTTACATTCAAGAGATAAAGACTTACATTAAAGGAAAAAGGGCAAAGCATTATTATTTGAATTTGCCTGTGCTTCTGATATGACAAATAATTGACCAATGGCTTATGACCATGGAGCTCATCTACTTTCGATGGACATTAATGGTATCTGTCACAGTTCGCATTCCTAGGCCATAGAAAACAAAGCCAGGAATGAGATGTCATTGTCTTAGGGCTTACTCCCAAAAGCTCTCAACCGCTCAACTCACCTAAGTCCTCCTCCTTTACTCTCTTCCTCCACATCATGAGTATTGCAAGATTTTATGATGACTTTTTTAATGCATAAAATGACCTGGAAAAATTTATTTTTTTCAATTTTTATTCAATAGAACAAGAGGCAACACTGCTATATAAAGTACTGCATATGGGGAAAATTACACACATATACAAAACCTCAAAAAATTAAACTCCAGTTTATTTCCACAGCCTTAAAAAGGTAGAGAACACATAAAAATATCCAAAATCATAGTTTATTCTTTAGGAATGTAAACTATAAGAATATAATTAGAAACAAGTATACTTACTATGAAAAAGTATCACTACATGATTAGAAGTAAAAATAAGAAGTACACAATAAATTCCACATAGAGAAAGCAACAATATGCAAAATGGTATCTTGAGTTTACTAGCAGAAACCTTGTATCAACACACAGGTACTCTAGAACTCTACTATCTAAAACACAGAAACAGCTTCCAAAATGTTCACTGCTAGTCTCTTTAGATATGCACAAGTTACAAAATACAGAAGACAACATACAGATGTTCTCTGATGTGGAATTCAGCAGTATTAAACATAAGTGTAAATAACTCAAAATATTGACTATAATTTTACTAAGCAACAAATCTAAAGTATAAATTCATGCTACTTAAAGGACTAGAGATTTTCTATTTTTTATCCAAAGAATGGAAAGACACTATTATACATTAATTTTTCTATCTACAATGCTTAATTTAAGTACCAATCAAATTTTTGTTCTTCTTAAAGTTTTTAATAAAATACTTTCAGTTACAACATTTAACATATATACTTCCTTAATGTGCTTCCCTTTAATAAAGTGTAGATTTCATTGTGCCTGTAGACTCAAATAGTAGCCTTAATTATTTGTCAAAAATTCTTTTTTTCTTTATAATTTAAAAGTTTTAACTTTCATTTTTCCAAAATAGGCAAAATCCCTTAAAACTGGCATCATTTAAAAAATCTATTTTGGTTTAAAAAACATATTTCCCCTTAATCCAAGTTTTATTTTTAAATGTGTAGTGTTTGCTAAATAGTTGCTTCATAATTGAAAAGGACTGAGAATTTCAACTCTACAAGTTTACAAAGCTGCCTTCAAAAGTTCCATAGTGGTATAGCAGAGATTTCAGGTCCTCACTTGTCCAGGGTTCTCTCTTGAAAAGTCTACTTTGTTTCTCTCCCCACTTAAATTCCAAAAGGCAAATGCTGGGACTCAACTTCATGAGAATATACGCTAGGCAGTTGGGTATTTGAAGAGTGAGAGGTGGGGTAATTCCAAGAATCTCTAGAGGTTTAAAATGTAGAATGGAGCTACAATTCCTGTTTAGATACTCTGAGCTATGAGGTACAAGGCCCCAGTTTTGTGCCGAATCCTTCTTGTGATAAAATATATTATTCTGAATATATAGGGGGTCTGTGCCCAAATGGTCACATCAGAATCCTCATGAGAAAATGACCTAAAAAGCCACCCCAACTTGCAAATTTGGAAAGGTGAGTGGGAAGAAAGTAGTAGGGATAATTACAACCATTACCACAGCTAGCATTATCCAATATTTGTAATTGCTACAAAATATTTCAAATGTATAATTCTTATTTGAAATAGTATCAAATGTACTATAAAAGAATTTTACTGTTAACTCCATACACCAGAATATCAATCAAGGCAAATTACTTGAAGCAAAAATTCAGAACCACTCCGAGTGAGCCTTCAGAGTTTTTAAAAGAATATACACATGCAAATTTGTTGTGTGTTGTACAAAAGGGTGGTGCTTCTTTCATGCTTAAAATTGTAGCCATCCACAGCTCTGATTCCATTTGATTAACAAGGAAAATATAAAATGTTATGTTTTTATGGCAAAAATAAGTGAAAATCAAAAATATAGAATTGAAGGGCTTAAGAAGTCAATGTCATTGACATTATTAGAAAATAAATTAGTTGTTGAAAACAATTTAGGTTATAATGATCTGGTAGCTAACATATTTGATCTAGAATTATGAAACCACTGGAAATTCTAAACATTACATAAGTTATTTGTTTGCATTTTGATTTGCTCTCCTCTGAAACTTTAATGTGCATAAGAAACCACTTGAAAATCCTTCTAAAGAGCAGATTATAATACAGTGGATCTGAAATTCTTCATTTGTAACAAGATGCTAAGTGATATCAATTTATTTACTGGTCCTCAGACCAAAGGAGTAGCAATGACTAGAATACCAAAATGAGGTTTCATTACAGCATTTGAACATCAAAATATGACCTCAGCTAATGTTTCCTCAAATTTATTGTATGTTTCCTAAGCCCCTTAACTTGCTTAAAATGCCAATTTTTAAAATTAGCTCCTAAGATTATTAATACTGTTAGTAGCTATACCTAGGGGGAAATTCTTTGTTAAAGAATTAAAAAAGACAATAAGAAGTTAACAGTGACATTTTACAAATATTTTAAATTGTATACAGGATTCCTATTAAATTTATACTATATCAAATTTGTCTGGTTGTCTTACTTTTTCTTTACTACAATTTATGCCAATAGACCATATTCCATTTTCTATTACTGGAACTAAAAAAAATCAAGTTCACTTAAAAACCATATTCTATTCAGGGTTAATAAATGAAAACTAGTTTATGCTTTTTGAAGAATTAGATTTAAAATGGTAGCCAAAGTAGTTATGGTCAAAAGTGCATTCATAGTATAAATGCCTTAGCACTCTTCAGGACATACACATTTTTCACATATTTTAGTTCTCTATAGGCAGATATAAGAGGAAAACTAGCATTTGCTCTGTGTGACCACAACTGGGGATCATGAATAAGGAAATCACTATGTACAGAGACCAAGACTTGCTAGGCCTTCCTTCCCTGTCAACTTACTCTCGTCCTCAGGCCAGATTTCTCTTTTATTCTGAATTATTATTTAAGCATACTTGATTCACAGAGAACCTTAACCAGAGCAGAAATGACCACCACTATCAAACACCCAACTTTGACATCCATTTAGAGGTCACACTGTTCTCTACAGCTACCTGCAAGTTTGTTTAGCTTCTGCCATATTGCCTTTTTTTTTTACCTTTTGGCTGGGGAAACCACATTGATTATTCCTTCTGTAACAACATGGACTTTTAAAATGAGTTTGTTCACAAGATAACCTATATGATTTTCTTGTATTTTATAATTCTCAATTTAACAACACAAACATAAACAACCCTAAATTAGTTAATACATAAAGGTCCTTTATCCATATTTCACTATTTTATAGGTAAAAAAAATTTACCTAATTTCCTTCATTTGCAGACAAACAATTCAATATTGTATGGTTGACACTGGGTATCTGGAGAGCTGTGTTGCAAAAATTACAATGATTTCCAGAAAGTCTTTGATGATGTGTGCTTTGAATTATAGGAATCCAAACTAAGTAGGATTTCCAAAGTCGAGCAGCAGGGTAAGTCAGTTGTGTGATCTATTACATCTTAGGAATTGAAAGGGCTCTTCACCTGCTAAATCCAGATCAAATACTTCAAAACAACACATCTGCTAGCACTCTGATTTTTGATAAAATAACAGAAAGCCCTCTCCCCATCCCCTGGAATTACATAATACTCTAGGTACTGAGTTACCAGGTATTTTCCAGTGCTTTTCAGAACTACTCCACTAATCTTAAAGATGATCTGGTTACAAACATTTTTTCAGGCACTCTTCATACACATCATTTTTGTTCTTTCACATGCCTGTTTTTCAGATGGGCTTGCTGAGCAGTCAGCTGTAGAATTCCTGGGGTTGCACCTCAGCCTTGTCCTTTAAAAAACAGTTTCCACACATAGAGGTTCCCTTTTATTCTGAAGGTCAAACATATAGCTACCAAAATAGGAGTTATTAAAAACAAAGAACAAAAACCTCATAACGTCACATGAGATGTAACCAATCTGATCAGACAATCTGCCAAAATATATTGTCACACTGATGATCTTAGGGCAATAAAAAACAAATGAGAAAGACTCAAATCAAAGGGGAAAAATGTAACCAAGAAATAGCAAAACCATATTTCACCTTAAGTACAACCTAGGCATTATTCCCTTCATAAAGTCAGGGTAGCCTTCAGAATTTAAGACACCAGGGCTCCTGACAGGAACAGGGAGGAAAAACCCTAAGCCCTCTCATAAAGAAGTGCTTGTGTTTCCACATTCACTGGTTACATGAGAAAACTACTATGAATTAATCTGTGGACAGAGTAATGCTAATACTAGGAGGTCTCTGCTGACCTGACTGGTGCTTCACTGGGAGCTCAGTCCTCTCAGAACCATAAATAAGCTTTTCTTCTTGGAGACTGCAAGCAGAAAACCTATTGGCATCTGTCCCAGTCCCACAGCCACCAGCAGATGATGGGTTATGTGGGACTGGGACACCACTGACTTGTTCAAAGGATTTACTAAATACAGTTGTGGCAGTCTTAGCCAAACCATGGCTACTGGGTTTCGGCAGGGATTGGCTGGTTGTTAACGTAAGTCTCTTCAGAGAGAGAAGCTCAAGGTTCTCACTTTGGGCTCTCTGAGTCTGTTTTCGAGCAAAGTGATCTTTACAAGACTCCACTGAAGTTTCTTTTTCTTTTCCTCCAGTTTTGCCTCCTCCTGACCGTCTCTGAGTCTTTCCTACACCTGTCTTGTTACTAGAATTGTGACTACTGTTTGATAAACCCGACTGGCTGGTACTAGATGCAGCCCTGGAATAAAATCCCTCATCAACTTCAGATATCTCCATCAGTTCTTCTTGACCTGTTAATTCTGTATTTCCTAAACAAAGAAATAACAAAGATTAATTAAGGATCTTCAGTAATTATTTTTTCATGATCAATACCAAATCAGTTATACATTAAATAAATTAAACTTTAGCATAATTACATAAAGCAACAGATTATAGACCAAAATCAAAGGAAAAATCAACACATTCTATAAAATGTCAAAAAGTTATTATAATTAAATAAGAGCAATTTAGAGTATATTAAACAAAAAGCATGCCATAAATAAACTACACCCCACTGTGTTTTCAGAAAGAGTTCTCTTACTATTCATGCAAAAGATCAGAAACAATTAGGAAATGCCACACAGTAAAACTAGGGGTAAAGTCTCTACCAGTAGCAAGTAGTATAAAATCAAAGCTCTTACCAGGGAACTTTTTAAAAAATGCTATTAAAATATTTTAAAGATTTTTGTAAAGGTTGCATTCTACATTCTAGATTAGTTTACTAAGATAAAAAGATATAGACTATGAGTATGACAAGCTCAAACTTGTTAAAATTCTATCCAAAAATACAAAGATGAAAAAATAATTTCAGATCTCAAAACATATGCAGAAAACTGGAAGCAATTTTTTGCCTGTTTTCATAGCAATTTACTCGAGACAATATCAGTATGACCATTCCAAAGAGCATTAAAAGTCATTGAGAAATTGTGGTGCATAATTCATGCATTTTGATTATTAGATGACATGCAAAATTTTTGTGACTGTGCAACTGTTGCTTAAAACATGCAGCAGTGGCCCTGTGCCATGAGATACCTTGGAGTGCAGCTATAAAGTGCTCTGCTAAAACTGCACTCTGCCAGGTGAGTTTATTCCATCCTCCATCATTTTTCTTACAGATTTTTGCCTCCTGATCTCTGGCAAGCCTTTGCTCTCAGTTCTAGGATCTGTGGCTGTTTCCTGCACACCCTGTATATGCTGAGCATCAATCTCTCCTAGTGTTCTGCCTTTTTCCCCATTCCCGGTTCTCTCTCCGGCCACATTTGTGACACTAATCTCAGGAATGACAAGGATGCCCAATTCAGTAGTATCATTATTGTTGTCAGGTTGCTCTAGAATTGAAGATGATAAGACAAAATGACGGCTGAAAACAAAACAAAATAAAAAGGCAAAACAAGAAAAACAAAAGCTCCAAAACAAAAACTGGACAACTGAAGGTTATGAATTAAGCCAAATATCTGCACTGTAGAAACTAACACAGTTTACAATACTATGACAGCACTGGGGACAACAGGATCATGTTCTTTAATTTTAGATGTCAATGAAAAAACTCACAGAGCATCAATTTATGTTCTGCATGTTTTCACACACACATTTGACATGGACTATGAAACAATTTTTCATGAATCAAAACACAATTTCTACTGTTTTTTAATATTGTGACCACTTTAGTTTATGTCAAGTACTAGGCAAATGTTTAAGTATGTACAGTCAAAACTCTACCTCTGTTAACATAAGGAACCAAGCCACTTTAGAAATTCCCCTTGCAAACTTAAAATTCTACTTTTTTATTAGATTACACTGAGGCTTAGTAAACTATATTAGAAAAATGCTTATTCACTTAAGGTATCATGGTTAATGATATCATGGTTAGTAATGTTACACATATAGTTTTTGTCTCACATTCCAATCATTGTGTATGTTTGTAAATGTTAATGTGGCTATGACATAACTAAACAGTCTATTCCTTCAGACTCATACCAAGTCCCTAAATTTAGGCTAGCTTGTAACAGCTAATTATTAAACTGAAGAAAAACAAAAATGGATTTGGAAAAACTAATTGGCTTATTGGTGCTTTATTATGAAAATGGCCATTGTAATCAAAACAAAGGAATGAAACTCCTAACTAGTTAATACTTGTAGACATTTTATTCTGTCTTACATCACAAAAGCATGGTCTTATTGAAAGTTGTCAAGAAAATATCTGTAATAAATGGGGAAAAAATAACATGAATCTATCTACTATGGCCCAGTAATGAAAAGTTAAAGTTCAAAACAATGTAAGACTATGCGAAACAGTAAATACTCTTAAAAAAGGTAGACCACAAATCTGCTTGAGGGCCATTACCTTCCTCTTTCAAATGTTTTTTATGATAGGTTTATCAAGCTCTCACTCATACTGCTAAAGCATGTGAAACAATAACAGGGGGTGAAAGAATGGAGGCTAGAGCCACACTCCTGTGAATCCTAAACTTTGCAGCAAGTTGGGATCCCCTCATTGTTAAGCACTACTGATGCCTGGTTCTCACCTAGACATTCTGCTTTTATTAGTATGAGGTATGACCTTGGCATTGGGATTTTTAAAAGCTCCCAGGTGACTAAGGTGAGCAGTTAAGGAACCACTGCTCTTTTTTGATCCTTTCACATTTTGAAAACTGAAAACAAAAAGTTATTAAGAATGCACTGGATACTCCATACCCAGCAGCAATGTGTACTTCTGGAGGTCCTCAAAGCTACATGAGCCTTGGGCTCATGAGCCAGTGTGCTGGTATAATAATTTCCCATTTACTTGGTGCTTCAGAAACTTTTGACTGAAGGTTCTCTAAATAGAATTTTTGTTTCTTAAACAGGCCAAAGCATGTTGGTGAGATAGTATCATGCTGCTGCTTTGAGTGCTCCCTAATAGAGGTTTAATAAGATTAAACAGCTTCAAACATTTCTATTCCCCATTGCTAACAGCTGTCTTCAAAGTGAGGGGAAGTAAAATCTAACTGGGATAAATGCCAGAAGCCACTGCAACTCAGAGAAGAATCGCCATGGCACTGATGGGTAACAACCAAGGCTGACCCATTTATACTGCACATGTAGTTTCATAAAACATCCATTGAAGGGACCATAGGTCCAAAAGAAATTATAAACTGTGGAAATTATCCAGACATATCAAAACTAATGAATATTAAAATTTAATAAAATTTTAAATGATAAGCATAGGTGGCCTAACAGAAAACAAAACTACTTACATTGGACGGCACTAAAATAATTTTTGTGACTGTATTCACTGTATCATTCAATTATATTCTCAAAATTGTTGGTGAGCCTTTGAAGTAGGTAGTTGGAATCCCATTTACAGACAAGGAAAGTGAAGTTCAGAAAAAGCAACACAATTATTCAGTGAGGGATCTAAACAGCAAATCTTTTGACTTCAAATGTCCATCCAAATATACTATGAATTCTAACTCTTCAATTCATTGAAGTCAGTTTGAATTAAATATCCTCTGAAATGCTTCAGTTAGGTTTAACTTACTTGCTTAGATTCCTGGTCACTTCACAGAAAGCAAATAATTTACTTTGGCTGAACAGAGAACAAGAGCAAATAACAGTTTTTAAGAAAACCTAAGTAAGTCATATCTCTCAAGTTCAGTTTTTTTTTAATTGTGTTTATTTTTTAAAAGATGCCAAAGAAAATTATTAATTTAAGTGGTACAATAATGAAAATTTATAATTTTGCAAGAAAGACTAGAAAATAATGAGAAGAATATTATATAGAGCAGCACTAGGTAATAGGATTGCTAATCACATTTATGGGGATTGTGGTAAAGACTGGCAGCCCAAGAAACAATGACATTAAATTTTTTTTAATCATGAAATTCAAAGGCAAATAGAAAAATGAGACTGTGTTCTTCCACAGCACAAATATTTGACTAATTTATGTCTTATCACTCAAAAATGGCAAATTTTTTAACTGTCTATTGAAGTAAATTCATGAAAAGAAAAGCATGTAACTGTTCAGAGCTAGAAAGAACCGAAATATAGCTCTCAGGAAAATCTGAGAACAAAGAAAGTCTTACGTAACTCAAAACAAAGATTTCTTACAGGCTCCTGCTCTCTTTCTCCAGCTTCTTCCTCTGTATAACTCTGTGACCCAATGCCCCTATGCACACCTGCTTACTGTCGTGCTGTTCCCTAGGCCTGGAATGCTCTTCTGACATAGCTACATGGCTCATGCCCTTACTTCCTTCTAGGTCTTCTCTCAAAAATTTTGTTCTCTGTGAAAAGCATTCTCTGATCATCTTACTAACTTTTAAAATTTCCCTTATTTCATGTACCCTCTTCCCTACTTTGTTTCTTCTTCTCAATTACTCACCAACCTACAGATCTGTATTTTTTTTAAATCTACTAGATGTCAGTTCCATGAGGGCAGGGATTTTTGTCTGGTCATTGCTATATATCTACTACCTGGGAAAGTAGCTTGCATATAGTAGGTACCCAAAAAACATTTGTTTGATGAATTGAATCTCCTGTTATGAGATGAAATTATTATTAGAATAAATAAAGGCGAAAAAGCATGCAGAAGACATGGGAAAAGCATGATGGGAATGTGTTTTTGACTTGATAAAAAGGAAAAAATAATACATCACCTATGGTAAAAAAGAATTTTTAGATGGCAGAGAAAAGCCGAAGGCTTTTTGTTTTGGAAAAGTAGCCTCCTCTAAATGTAGGTTTTGGTAAAATTCTTAGTAATGTCATGAATAATTTTTAAATTTACAGTTCTTTTTAATGTATAGTTCTGTATATCTAAGGAGAGAAAGCTAGTTCTTTCTCTAAGAAAATTATAGGGGAGACGTTTTAAAGGAATACAAATGCATAGGAAAATAGAATCTGTTTAAAAGCCCAGAACTTAAAAATCTATGTGAAAGCTTTCATGAGTGTTCTATACCTATAAAAAACCAATGCTTACATTTAACTTCAATTAATTCAAAAAGTTCAAAAAAGATCCAAAGAGAAACTTCTCAGAGAATATTTATTTGTAAAACCTCTACAAACAGGTAACCTTCTCTCCATATACAGAAATGAGGAGAGTTAAAGAATACTGTTAATAGACATTTCCAAATTGGTTGTCAAAGGCACTCAAATCACTTCTCCCTACAAAATTTCTTCTGTCTTTGAGGAGAAAGAAAAGGTGAAACAAATTGCAAATATCATTAAAATTGATCATGAAAAGTTGTGATTTCTCTCATATGTAATTTTATAATCCCAAATATCTATCGGTCAT